ATATTATAATCGGCCTAAAGATATCAAATAATTCATCCATTCAACTCCTATCGTTCAGATTTTCCACGATGTGGAGAAGTAGTAGGATAAAGGTTACATGCTATGATGAATCAAACCAGATTTTCAATCTATATCCTACAAAATTCTTTTATGGAAGATGAAATGATTTTGACAAACTTTCTATTAGCAAAAAGAGACGGCTTCCACATATTTGATTGATCCAAATTTTCAATATTTCGAAAAGTTTTTGGAGAGCTTCAGATCTCACCACTCCCTAATTAGGATCTTCTAGGAAATTAATATGATTATGAAACAAGTTTGATGGCTGTGGTTTCAAAATGCGCGAATTAACTTCGCATGCAATTTGTATCAAACTCTACACTTTCGCAGTAACCAATCTTCCCCTAAAGGCAGCATGCAAAAATCGTTCCACGTGTCACTGTATTGGCCATAAGTAAAATGAGGCTTCTGCCTTCTAAATCTCTTTATATCAACGACTAAAGTAAACACTGATCTGCGCTACCTCCAAGATAGTGGCACAGTCCAGCATTTCAGCCATGAATGTAGAGATTCCCCTGGTTTGCTGGTCGCTTGCACCCACACGAGTGAAGATGCCATCCAATACCGACATATGAGCGTATGAAGCGGGTACAAAGCTTCCTACAGTAGGATGAATCATTATTAATTCTCGATTCTAATGGCATTACCAATCTGTGCTAGTAAAGCTGAGATAGCCGCCGATCGAAGATAGGTACTCTTTCCACCCATATTTGCACCTGTTAGAATGACCATTCGATTTGTCCCTAAAGACGAAGTTTATGGCCAATTCATAGATTAGTGAGCTCGAAACAAACCAAGCTCCACATCATTTGGTATAAATGGCTCGTCTATCAACGCTTCCAGAACCGGATGGCGACATTTTTTCAGCTCAAATATGCCGCTGCCTGTAGGCTACAACTATAGAAGCCACAAAGTATGAAGGAGTACCTAAACTTACCCATGGGCTCCAATTTAGGCCTGACATAATCACTAGCCGCATCTGTTACCACTCGGGCCAAGCTTGTGAGAACGTCAATTGTAGCAAGCGTATTACTCAGCTCGCTCAGCGCGGAAGCATACCCAGCTGAAGCATTGAAATTAGAAAGTTGAAGTAAGGACACAAAACTTTTGCGTAGTTTCATTTGGAAAACTCAGCTACTCAGTATAATAGAGAGAAAAACGAAAGACATTTTTAAATGATTGAATAAAAAAGCCGGGCGAATCCCAGACAAAAGGAAAGTTGTAAATTTTGGAAGGCAGCGTTCAGTGCCGGTCTGCAGAAACTTCACTGGAAGCAGAAGAGCATAAAATCAACAAAATCATTTTTGCAATGGTATGTAGATATTTTGCAAGGTTATAACTTTGACATTTTAATGGA